TTCGTAACCACTATGCTACCAGAGCTCCTTAGATATATTAAAAAACAAAAAAATGAACCTATGCTATTGAATCAATTCCCACTCATAGCAACGCTTTATAGGGTTCCCAAGACTGTAAGTCTTTACGGCAGCAGATAGCCTCATCTTTCTTCCACAGAACAGCTGGTGGGTTTGAACTGCTGACCTTGAGGCCTACAGCTCAGAGCTTATGCTACAGTGCCACCAGGACTCCTTATATCGATATCTATATCTTTATATGTTGTTGTTAAGTGCCATCCAGTCAGTTCCGACCCATAGCAACCCTCTAGAGGGTTTCCAAGAAGTGACTGGTGACCTTGAACCACCAGCCTTGAAGTTCAAACTGACTTTGCAGTCTAGAGCATTAACCCACAGCACCACACCAGGACTCCATATATCTTTATATATTACTCTATATATGTGTATATGTGTATATATATATATATTTGTCATTTCATTTACCATTTCCACATGTCTTACATGTAGAATTCAGTGGCTATTGTTCTTAAGTACCATCAAGTAGGTTCCAACTCATAGCGACAGTGTATAAGGTGGATTTGAACCACCGTCCTTTCAGTAAGCAGTCAGTGCCACACCAGGAGTCCACATGGTTTACTTATAGAATTCAGTAGCTAAAGCAAGCTTTTTATTGAAGTATAACACCTCCAGACTGCTGGTGTGACACTGTCGAATCAGCACTGGACTGCAAACCACAAGGCTGGCAGATCAAACCCACCAGCTGTCCCTTGAAAACACTGTACAGGGTCGCTATGAGTCGGAATCTACTTGATGGCACTTAACAACAACAACAACAACACCTCCAGAGAAATGCACAAATTGTAAGTGATGAATTTCTATCAAGTGAACAATCCCCAGATAAGAAACAGAACCTTCCAAAGTAAGTGTACAGTCCCTCACGTCAAGAGTAACCACTATCCTGACTTCTAACAGCATATGTTAGTTTTGCCACTGTTTAAACTTCATAGGCATGAAACCATATGGTCTCTGCTCTTTTGGATCTGGCCCGTTTTGTTCAACATCCAATTTATGATACTCCGCCATATTGTGGGGGATAGTTTACTAATCTCTTTGTTGTGTACTGGGGTTTTTTGTATGAGTGTAATACGTTCTACCATTGTTGGACTTCTGGGTTGTTTTCAGTGAAACTGAAGTTTGAAGGAGGGGAGAAACTGGTTGACAGGGAAAAGGACAGAATGTTCACTGGAGGGAAAATGCCAGGAACTATTCTAAGAATTCTGTGTGTACTCACGAGTTTCGTCGTCACAGAATACCTATGAGACCATGCTACTGCTTTTGTTTTATTGTTTTGATGAGGAAACAGAAGTCTAAGGAAACTAAGTAACTTTACTCAGGTTCATATAGCTAGTAAATGGCAGAAGCAAGATTTGAACCCTTGCGACCAGAAGCCAAGTGAAGAAACCAAGTCTCAGAGGGGTTAGGTAATACACCTAAGTTTTTACATCCCAGAGTTGAACTCAGCAATATTTTACATCAGAAATGTAGCTCCATTTGAGAGGTCTACATTCTCCCTTTAGAACATGGAAGGCGGCCAACACTATTTGTACATGACCTCCCAAGAAGCCCTCATCCCAAAGAGAAGCCCAGTACAAACAAAAAAAGGATTTTAACCCATCCTTGGTTGGAGTCATTTCAGGATCATTGAAGGTTTCCAGTTGGTAAATCTGTGTCTCAGGAAGAGCAAGAAGATCCCACTAAGAGCCAGCATGCCCTGGCATTACACTTTCTGATAAACTACAGTAGAGGCTTACTCACGGGAGGGGCCCAAAGGTTTCAGACACAAATAAACTACCTCTAAGATTGGAGGTAGGCCCATCAAAGGCCCACCCTGGTTGTGCACATCCTGAGTTACTCAAAGAACCTGTGCAACCATTTCTATCTCCCATGGACTGAGAAGCAGTCAGCTGGGTCCAAGCCCCAGTAGGATCTCTATGGCCTCTTTGGATAGTCTCCTCCCACTTTGTGGGAAAGCTGATATTGAGGTACCCTAAAACAGGATCCTGTGGAGTCCTGGTGTGGCGCTGTAGGTTAATGCACCAGACTGCAAAGCCGTTTAAACTGCAAGGTCAGTGGTTCAATCTCACCAGCTACTCCTCGGAAACCCTATACAGGGCCCCTATAGGTTGGAACCAACTAGAGGGCATTTAGGCACTTAACAACAAAAACAACAATGAAACAGGATCCTGGGAGCCAAAGACCACTCCTCCTGGCCCCTAGACTGCAGATTAACGACAGGAAGAGGCCCAGGGAAAGAGCTGCAATTAGAGGGCAGCGGGGCAGTGAGTTTACTCTTCCCCAACAAAGCCTGCTTTCCGCTCCATGCCTGCTTTCCAGCCTCACCCAGCCCTGGGTTTTTAGGGGTGATTCCCAGCCTCCTGGTCTGCAGAGCAGGCTGAGAGGTGGTGGAAGGAAAGCCACAGTGGGTCCCAGCCGTCTACAAATAGTAACCCAGTCTACCCTCCTTGGACCCAGGCCAGGCCAGTGCCCACCCTCTCTCTGTTCCTTCTTTTCCATGCAAAAAGAGGAGGAAGTTATCCCAGCAGCTTCATTCTAGCTATATAAGGGAAGGGAATAAGCAGAAGAGATGTAGAAAGAAAGAGGGGAAAAGAGGAAAGACTCAGGAGGAGGAGCAAATCAAGGGAGGGGGATGGAGGGCATGGGAACTGAAGGGGTCATTCCCCAGTCAGACATTCCCTTTTCTACTTCAACTCCTAGCCCCCTTTCCCAGCTCCCCACTGTAGCCAGCCAGAGGCTTTTAGACTGAGGACAAAGCACCCAGCCATGAGGCCATCATGGTGGTAGTGTCTGCTTGGCCTAATGGAGAACCTAAGTTTCTGGTCAGCTACCTTTCTGGGTCCTCTAGGAATGTGTGACCCTTGAGCCCTGATTGCTGTCTTGGTTTTGGGTCAACACCTGTCTAAATTATGAAACTGCTGTACCACAATCCCCAGGAGTTGGGGCCAATTGTTTGTGTGTTGGGAGTAGAATGGCAGGTGATATCGCTCCTGCCTTGGGGGCTTGTCACTAGGCCTTCCCTTCCCTCCCCTCCGCCTTAATAGGAAAGAGGATGTGAAACTTTCAGCTTTGTGTGGGTTTAGGGCTTCAGTTCCTCAAGCCCTTATCTCCGGTGTCTGTAGTCTATCCCACTCTATCTGTCTGGCCATCTGTGAACCCGGGTTCCTGTGTGTATCTTCTGGACTTGACTGTTTATCTAAGAGATAGACTCAGTCTCAACTTCTTGTGTCTAAAGCCTGCCTTCCTTACCTACCTTGCCCTGGTTTCTGGCTGCTATCTTGGCATGTACATGCATATACAGTTCAGAAAGCTCATCAACACAGCAATCTATCATGCCCAAAAGTCTGAACACAGGAAAACACCAAGAGTGGCCACTCATCACATTAGTGGCTAAGGTTAAAAGCTGACATAAAGAGAAAATGGTGGTTTTCTTTTACTAAATTAGCCCCAAGTATGCGTAGTGGTTACGAATCGGGCTGCGAACCTTAAGGTCAGCGGTTCGAAACTACCAGCCGCTCCGCGGGAGAAAGATGAGGCTTTCTACTCCCGTAAAGATTTACACCCTCGGAAACCCTGTACAGGGTCGCTATGGGTCGGACCCGACTCGATGGCACTCAACAACAACAACAACAATTTGTGTCCCAAGGAGTGTAGTGGATTACGAGCTGGGCTGCTAACAGCAAGGTTAGCAGTTCAAATCTACCAGTACCTTCACAGGAGAAAGATGAGGATTTCTGCTCCCATAAATCTACCTCAGAAACCCTATTGTTGTTGTTGTTATGTGCCGTGGAGTCAGTTCCAACTCATAGCGACCCTGTACAGGGTTTCCAAGGCTGTAAATCTTTACTGGAGCAAAAGCCTCATCTTTCTCCCGCAGAACAGCTGGTAGTTTCTAACTGCTGACCTTGCAGTTTGCAGCCCCATTCCTAACCACTACGCTACCAGAGCTCCTTCAGAAACCCTATAGAAGGTCATTATGAGTCAGAACCAAGTCAGTGGCACACAACTAACAATTTGTGTCCCAGGAAGCCTGGTGGAACCGTGAGTTAAGTGTTGTGCTGCTAACCGGAAAGGTTGGCACTTGGAATCTAAGAGCAGCTCTGAGGGAGAAAGATAAGGCCTCAGAATCCCGAGGGAGCACTTCTAGCCTTCCTACCAGGTTGGTCTGAGTTGGAATGGACATGACTTAGTTTTAGTTTGTGTCTCAAGTCTTTGGACCCCTTCTATGAGTAAGCCTCTTCTGTAGTTTACCAGAAAGTGTAATGCCAGGGCTTGCTGGCTCTTAGTAAGTATTACCTTGCTCTTAAGACACAGGCTGACCATATGGAAGCCTCTCGGTGTTTAGTTCTGTCAACATGATTGGAAGCCACGCTCAGAGCATGCCAGAACCACAGAGTGTGGGCGGGATTCGCTTTAAGATACGTAAAGGTAGGAGTCAAATGGTTAATACTAACCAAAAGGTAGGTGTTTTGAGTCCACTCAGAAGCCTCTTGAAAGAACGTCCTGGAAATCTACTTCCCCAAAAATCAGACACTGAAAACCCTCTGGAACATGGTTCTATTCTGACGCACATAGGGTCACTATGATTCCTTAGCAACTGATGATTGGTATGTCAAGTTATGTCTTGTATGCGCTGATCTATGTCTTTAGTAGTAGAAATATATTCACTCTGACTCATTTAGCCTTTCAAGGGTTCCTAACACTAAAATGGTAGAAATTGAGTCTTGGCCTGGGCATGAGCTTGGTTTATGGTCAAGGGTAGGATCCCATTCAAGACTGAAGAACAGCATGAAACCGTCAATATTAGGCTATCTTGGTACTTCACCTCAGTATCTCTGTGCCCTGAGGGCACGCAGGGTATGGGGGTGAGGGGTAGAATCAGAGCAGCCATTTCAATGTAACTGATTTCATCACTTCTGTTCTTCCAGCTCTCACTTCAGAGATCCAGCAGTTTCAAGGATTTTGCTAAATCCAAACCCAGCTCCCCTGTGGTGAGCGAGAAGGAGTTTAATCTGGATGATAATGTGAGTTTTGAAGCCTCCTTGGGGGACCGGGCTGCAGGCCCTGTATAAGGAAGTGTGTGGGAGAGAGATGAGGGGGAAGAAGAGATTTTAGGATTGTTAGGGCAAGATCTCCCAGAACACAGAAGCCCACCTCTCCCACCCACTAAGATTCTGAGCCCTGAGAACTAACTTGCCTTCTTTTGCATTCTAAAATAAAGAGATCCCTGGCAGAGGGTGGAGACTGAGGACAGCGCTTGTTGTTGTTGTTGTTTTGTGCTGTCAAGCTGATTTCAACTCATGGCTATCCAATGTGTCAGAATAGAACTGTTCAGTACAGTTTTCTGGGCTATAATCAATCACTTAACAACAACAATCAATTATTAAGTCTTTCTCCCATGGATCCACTAGGTGGGTTTCTAACCACCAACCTTTAGGTTAGCAACTAAATGCTTAACCATTTCAGACAAGGCTAGCATTAAGGCAGGGGTGGTGGGGAACGTCTGGTCCTTGGCCCATAGAAGGCCCTCGAACTCATTTGGTCTGACCCTGTCAAGGCAACCGCGGTTCCAACCATCACATTGTTGTTGTTAAGTGGCTGACGTTGATGAGTAGGTTCCAACAATTGTGACCCTGTATAGTGTTTCCAAGGAACAGCTGGTGAGATTGAAACACAACTTTGTAGTTCAAACTGACCATGCAGCCAGTGCTTATCCTACAGGGCCACACCTGGACTTATTGTTGTTGTTGTTAAGTGCCGTCGAGTCAGTGCCAACCCATAGCGACCCTGTATAGGGTTTCCAAGGAGCAGCTGGTGAGCTTGAACTGCCGGCCTTGCAGTTCAAACAGCTTTGCAGTTTGGCGCATTAACCCACAGTGCCACACCAGGACTTCTGACAAAATGTAGCAGGCTAATTTTTAAGTTGATAATTTTGTATGGCCCATGAATGATGTTATAAATTTTGGCAGAAAAAAGTTCTGCATTAAGGGGGTGGGAGGAAGCTCTCATTCCCATCCCCTCTAGTCTCTGCTTTGAACAGAAAGCATCCTTCTATCTCCAAGTTCTGGGCCCAGACAGGACCATCAGGGTTGCTGAACCTCCTTGTTTGTTTCCACAGATTCCAGAAGATGACTCAGGTGCTCCTGCTCCAGAGGATGCTGGGAAGAGTAGCAAAAAGCTGGGGAAAAAGTGGAGGGCAGTGATTTCTCGAACGATGAATAGGAAGATGGGCAAGATGATGGTGAAGGCCCTTTCGGAAGAGATGGTGAGGCCCTGGGGTGGGGGTGAGGGGATACAGGCATCATTCTGGCAGAATGTGAGCATGGTCACCCTGACAGCCCTATGCAAGAAGAGAAGTCAACATGGTGTGGGGGGTCAGGGCACAGTCCAGAGGCAGCAGGACTCTGGCTGGGAACGGTAGGGTTTGAGGAAGGATGAAAGTCTGGGAAACAAAGTTTCTTGGGAAGGTTGGCATGAAGGGGGAGATTGCTGAAATGTTTTGCTTGGCACTAGTTCCTGGCATTACTTAACAACATTTAACAACAACAGCTCCTGGGATTGAGAAGACCTGCCTTGAAGAGAATCCCTGTGTGAGAAAGAAGGCACACCGGCCTTCCATACCAGGAAGAAGGGTGGCACCGACATAGCTGTAGGACAGGCGTATCCCAAATAGCTTAAAATCACACAGTGACTCGGGTGTACTTGTGGTTCTTTCAGAAGTCATTAAAACCATGGTGTGCCCGTGCCAGTTTGTCTAGTATTGGCTCATACCAGCTCACAAGAACTGTTGGCCAGATTTCTAGGAATTCTAAGAGCCCCTTGTTAAACACAACCATTATTAAAAGTTAAATTACATATACCTAGAATTAAACTAATTATCCTACGAAGTAAGAACTCAAAAGTCACCACTCCCTAATTCTTGCAAAGGAGCTCTGGTCGCATAGTGGTTATGAATCGGGCTGCTAATCTCACAGTCAGCAGTTCAAAACTACCAGTGGTTCCGCAGGAGAAAGATGAGGCTTTCTGCTCTGGTAAAGATTGACAGCCTCAGAAACGCTGTACAGGGTCGCTATGAATCGGAACCGACTCCACGGCACATAACAACAACAAATGTTCTTGAGACTATTTGCCAACAGGGAATTGGCAAACAGGACAAATCAGGGCTTTGTAGAGAGCCAACACACCCCTAACTACGCTGGGGTTCCTGAGTTACCACTTACTGCTGACTAGTCTTGGGGATTTACTCCGCCCCTGTCAACTCAGGACAATCACAGTACTTACACAGTGTCACTGTGAACCTGAAATGAAGTGACACTTGTGCACATCGTTAGGAGCACAGCCAAATGGATGGAGTTCCTCTTCAGCCCCATTGTCTGCTTGAGGAAACAAGGGCTCAGAGAGTGGCATACAGCATTGAGCCAGGCCCCAGCTTTTGTACTTGGGGCTACCCCATGTGCCCTCAGCCAAGGCTGCTCAGGACATCCAGCCTCCCCCTCCCCCACAGGGAGACCCCCTGGAGGAGAGCTCAGCTTCCCCAACATCTCCAGACTGCAGCCTGGACAGCCCCGGGCCAGAGAAGATGGCTATGGCCTTTTCCGAGCAGGAGGAGCGAGATTCCCCGGCATTAAGCCGCCAGACATCCACAAGTGAGTACAGTTGGTCAGCGGGTTAGGACCATACACGTAGGATGTCCGGGAAAGAGGTAAGAAAAAAAATGAGCTTTTAATCTTTGCCCACTGGAAACTTTCTTAGTTCTCCTAATGTAAAATTTTCACACTAACCCCACGGGGCTGATACTAATAGTATCCCTTCTGTATTGATGTGGAAACTGAGGCTCAGGGAGGTTAAGTGGCTTGCCCTGGTGATCCAGCTAGTGAGTGGCAGAGCCGGGATTTGAAGTCAGGTCTGCCCTAGACTGTCCCTAAGCCCTGGAGGCGCCCCAGGGCAGAGTAAAAGAGCCTCACTGCCCATCCCTACTCATTCTCTTGCCCCTTGGGAGCTCGAGCTCCCTCACCCTTTGGCATCTCAGCTGTGAAAGCGCAGTCTCTTGGACCTCAGACCTTGGTTGGCAGAGCTCAAGGTGCCACTTGGCATGTTCTGAAAGTCTCCAGGGCTGAACACGAGGTTCTGGCAGCCCTGTTGGAGGAGCTCTGGGCCCTATTGTCCTATAGGGAGGGGCATTGCGTTTCTCACCCCCCAGGGCCTTGGCCTGTGATCATATTCCAAGCTCTCTGCTCTTACTCTGGCTCCACAGACCCCTTCTTGCCCCACTGAAAACCACTTAAAATACCCCTTACCCGGCCTCCGTTTCCTCTCCTGATCATTGGAATGTTGACTTAGCTGGTCTCTGGAGGCCCTCCCAATTTGTCCATACTTTGGTCTATGAGCTGTGTGTCCCATTGTGAGCTACTTCCATGTCTGAGGCCCTAGAGGTGAGGAGGATGGATCAGAAGTCCTTCTGCAAGCCGAGACGTCCTCAACTTTCTTCCCCAGCATATGTCCTTGGGATTTCTAGCCAGATCCCTTGGAAGGACCGTGCTGGGCACTAAATCAAAGATGACCCTTCTTCCCACCCCTTCTCCTATAGGCAGTGAGCTCTGCAGCCCAGGTTTGGGCTCTAACAGCTTTGGGGAGGACTCACCTGCACCCCAGTATACAGGGCCCTTCTGTGGCCAGGCACGTGTCCATACTGACTTCACCCCTAGCCCCTACGACCACGACTCACTGAAACTGCAGGTAAGATTGGCCTCTAGGCCTCTCCTGAGCCTGGTGGGCTGGACCCAGAAAGGAGACTGGACGGAACAGGGGAGGACAGTGTCAACAAGGCCAGGGGACCTCCATGCTCTCACTCCCTGCTCTCTTCTCCCCGCACAGAAAGGAGACGTGATTCAGATTATTGAAAAGCCACCCGTGGGCACATGGCTAGGCCTGCTTAATGGCAGGCTGGGCTCTTTCAAGTTCATCTATGTGGATGTGCTACCTGAGGAGACCATGGGACCTGCCCGCCCGAGCCGCCGGCAGAGCAAGGGCAAGAGGCCCAAGCCTAAGACCCTGCATGAGTTGCTGGACCGCATTGGCCTGGAGGTGGGAGCTCATGATGGCCGCCCTGGGGCCCTAAAAGCTAGTATCTAGGAGAGGCCCATTTGTCAGCTTGCAGGAGGTGTCAGCTTGCAGGGCCTCCCTGCTCCCTGCAGGGTGGGTTGTAAGTGGCTTCACCAATGACCTGTCCTCTGCCCACAGGAGCACACGCCCACCCTGCTGCTCAATGGTTACCAGACACTGGAGGACTTCAAAGAGCTGCGAGAAACACACCTAAACGAGTTGAACATCATGGACCCCCAGCACCGAGCCAAGCTGCTCACGGCGGCCGAACTGCTGCTGGACTATGACAGTGAGTGGACCTGCCGCTGTCCCCCACCCTCAGATGACTCTCAGCCAAGGGCTCCCTTTAAAATCAAGCCTCAGGGAAGGTTTGCAGGGAGCAGAAGTTTGAGGAATTATTAAGCCCCCCCCCCTTTAATCAAGGAGACATGTAAGGCCAGAGAAGGTAACGCATATACTCAAGGCCACAAAGCTAAGGAATAACAGCCAGAATTTGAGCCCAGGTTTCCTGGCTCCTAACTTACTGCTGATGTGGCACTGTAGGATAAGCACTAGACTGCTAGCCACAAGGTTGGCAGTTCAAACCCACCAGCTGCTCCTTGGAAACCCTATACAGGGTCAATATGAGTCAGAACCAACTCGATGGCACTTAACAATAACAAAGTTAGTGCTGATGCTATTTGGGTTCCTGGACATGGAGGTGGCCTGAAGGCACCCTAAGCACCTTCAAAGCAGATATGGTGAGAAGGACATGGGTGGTGGTGGGTACACAGAAGGACAGAGGCTTCCCAATATTCCTACCCCCACGCAAGGGTTGTCTGGGACTTCTGGCCCCTCCCCAAGCTGAGGAGCAAGCCTTCCCATATTCTCTCTGTCTGTCCTCACCCTTGGCAGCGGGCAGCGAGGAGGCAGAAGAGGGCGCTGAGAGCAGCCATGAGCCAGAGCCGAAGGTAGACATCCCTCGAGACTCAGGCTGCTTCGAGGGCTCAGAAAGTGGCCGTGATGAAACAGAGCTGGCGGTCACTGAGGAGCAGCTGCACGGCCTTTCCTTGGCCGAGGAATCTTGAGGTGGAGGTGATAATGCAGGCCAAGGCTGGGCCCGAGCACGGGCCATGCGTGAGGTTGAGCCTGGCCTCCTGTGGTGACTGACCCCAAGCCTGGCCTCCTGTGGTGACTGACCCCAAGCCTAGCCTTGCTTCCCCGGGGCCCAAGAGCGGCAGAAGCCTGACCCAAGGCTCCATAGGCTCTGTTGAATGGATGAGATGCCTCCTGAGGGCATATCGCACGCCTGGAGCCTTCATTCGGCCAGATACTGATCACACAGCCCTGCCTGGCCACTGCCCACTCTCCAGCCACAGTCACAGTAAGGGGGGCATTCAGGGCCCACCCCCATGCCCCTCCCTATCAAAGCCCCCAAACCCTCCTCACCCAGTGGCACTCCTCCTGAAAAGGGGCCCAGTGTTTCAGGTCAGTCTCAAAAGCCAAGGGAAGCTGGCCACTGAAAAGGACCTGAGTTTATCATGGGTAAATCCAGATGCCTGAGACTGTCCTAGAGGTTTGACCACTAAATCACTATTTGCACTGAGCCAAGTGCCTCTGGGCTTTGGATAGAGTTGGAGCGGAGTGTCTCTGAGGGCCTTGCCAGCCGTGACATTCGGTGACATTAAAGGGCTGTTACCTGCAGCCAGCACACCACTGGGGTTTCTCGGGGAACTGAAGGCTCACAAATGAAACGGCTCCTTCCACTCGTCCAGTTGGTACCTCCCCCCAACTGAGGCCAGGCTGCCACTCCCCCAACTTGAAACCATGCTCAGACCTCAGACAGTGCCCACCCTCTCCTTCTATTCTTGGTTCCATCAAGCAAGACTTCCCTCCAGGCTAATGGCAGAGACTCAGACCTTTCTTTCCAGGACAGAACTGCCCCTCTGGGCCTAGACTTGGCCTTACAAGCAAAGACAGTACTAATCTTGGCATTGGGAGGTCTCCTACCCCAATTTACTTCACAGAAGGTTTGGCTATACCCTGGGCACTAAAAGGGGAGGGAGATTACCCATGGGTGGGGGCACCCTCTTGGTCCCACTACCGAGTATTCCTCTTAAATTCCCAAAGTATCCCTTCCATGGTATCCAGCTGGCCTGCAGGCAAACAGTGCTCACTATAGCTAGGACTGCCTTAGTGGACACACTTTTTGACCTACTACCAGAGAGCTCTGGTAGCGTAGTGGTTACAAATCGGGCTGCAAACCTTAAGGTCAGCAGTTCGAAACTACCAGCCACTCTGTGGGGGAAAGATGAGGCTTTCTGCTCCCGTAAAGATTTACAGCCTCGGAAACCCTGTACAGGGTTGCTATGAGTCGGAACCAACTTGAGGGCACTTAACAACAACAACAACAACCAGAGCTTTGATAAAAGTTAGTTTTGAGAAAGGAGTTGAGTGTAAATATGGGGGGTGGGGGGGAGGCAGAGGGAGACAGTTTGGTAGCAATAAAAGACGTCCAAATCTACTACTGTCGAGTCGGTTCCCACTCAGAGTAACTTAATAGGAGAGAGTAGAACTGCCCTAAGGTTTTCCCAACTGGAAATTTTTCTACAGAAGCAGACAGCCACATCTTTCTCCTGTAGAGTAGCTTGTAGGTTCAAACAGCAAATCTTTGGTTTAGCAGTTGAGTGCTTACCACTGTGCCACCAGGACTCCTTTAATAAAGTGTATTGTTGTTATTTTTGTTAAGTGCCTTCGAGTCATTTCAGACTCATAGCGACCCTGTATAGATAGGGCTTCCGAGGGAGCCAACCTTGCAATTCAAACCGACCTTACGGTCCAGTGCATGATCTTGCAGCGCCACACAGGTCTCCAGCTATCTTTCTGATGGAGAAAGGGTTGGGATGGACCAACCAGTCTCCTTCAAAGTTGGCCTTCAGCAAGATGGTCCTCCATTAGCCTTTCAAGACCATCTTTTCCGTCCTGAAGGATGTTCACAGTCCCTGACTCTACTGAATGAAAGCTCCAATTTGAAGCCCTAGCTGGCTCTGCAAGTGGGTGTGTGGGTGTGGGGGGGGGGGTGTCACCATTTCCCTCTTCCCATAATTGTTTAACAAGAACCTTGAACGCCTTAACCTTGGTGAGGAAAAGCCTGCGATGGGGGGCTGTCCAGGGCCCACAAAGGGAAGACTTGGGTTCACAGGGTCTTTCCTCAGAGGCCACTTCTTTCTGACCCCCACTGCAGATATACCATGTCCTGGGAGGAGGTCCCTTTATTTGCCAGCATTATCTGCACTTGCTGTTGGCTGCCATCACATCTGTCCCTATTCATGGCAGCCCCCAGTACAATTGAAGAACATGCTGCCCAGTTCTTCACCATACTCATGACTCGGTATAGATTGAGCCATTGTCATCCATAGGGTTTGCACTGGCTACTTTTCAGAGGTATCTTGTCAGTCCATCTTAGTCTGTCAGCTCCACTAAAACTTGTTCAGCTTCTTAGGAACATGAAAACCTCCGTGGGCAGCTGGGCAGTGTCTGTGCAGGAAGGGCCTTGGCTCAGGAAGCAAACCTGAGTCTCCCGCATGGAAGGTGGAAATTCTACCACTGAACTTGAAGGAAAGGAGGAAGAAAGGAAGGAAGGAAGGAAGGAAAAGAAAGAAAACCAGTTGCTGTAGAGTGGGCTCCAATTCATGGTAACCCCATGTGACTAAGCTTTCAGAAGATCACCAGATCTTTCTTCTGAAGCACCTCTGGGTGGATTTGAATCTCTATCTTTGGGTTAGCAGTCACTCCAAAGTCTCCCACCACCTAAGAGAGCTGCCACCAGAGTGAGGTCAGAGAACTCTGTCCCCAGGCCTTACTTCTCAGCAGGACTCATCCTACTGTCTTTTGATACTGTAGGCATCAAGAAAACGGAAAATGGAAGTGTTGTCTTCACCAACTAAACAAGGAAGCCCAAACCACCTTGAGTCACAAACAGTGATGAATGGTTTCCATCATTTACTGAACATTGACAGAAACGTGTATGATCTCATATAATCCTCATTCATATAGTCCTCACTGCACCCCTGAGAGGTAGAAACCATTAGCATCCCAACTGGCAGAAGAGGAAAGTGAAGCTGAGAGATTAAAGAAGTTACCTAAGAAGTCAAAGAGTGATGAGTCTGCCTGACTTCAGAGTCAAGTTCATTAAGCTCTATACGAAATGGCTTCTCAAAAGACCTCATCCTGCAATCTTCTAAAGGCATAATCTAACTCTGTAATGTTGACAGTCTATGGCTCTGCCATTCTCCTTCTAGGAGTTGGCCTACAGAAATAATCAAGCAAGGGTACAAAGAGAAATGGGCAAAAATATTTACAACAGCTTTGTCCATACTTGGAAACAACATAAATGGGGCATTAAACACATTAGAGTTCATTCATACAATAATACCATGCAGCCATTAAAAATGAGGTCGACAAAGACTTAATGACATGGGGAAAATCTTCATGATTTTTTTTTTTTTATTCCTTCGTTTTGCATGTGAAGATTATACACATACTGTACAAACATACTTGTAAATAATTTCATGCTAGGGGAAAAGCAAATATTGAAATATGAGTTATAAGGTGACTCCATTTTTATTTAAGGTAAAACAACAACAACAACAAAAACCACACCCACAGAGAAAAGACTGGGAGAGTGTGTACTGAAGGGTTAACAGCGGTGATTTGGGGAGGGGAGTGGGGAGGGCTAGGGGAAGTGAGAGAGACATGTTTATTTTCTGTATTTTTGTTTTATTGGATTTTTAAAGCATTATTACTTTTACATTTATAAAAAAGAAACTGTATTTCAATTTTTCAATAAAGAAAACAACAAAGAACACAGGGCTCAAGATGCTGGCCAATGATCTGGGGTAGCGGGGAAGCCATTATCCTGATGGATAGCTTTTGGCAGGGGTTTCTGGAAAGATGGTGTGGAGGGGGATAATGCCCAAGGCGCTTAAAACCCACACACGCCAGAGGAGGTTCCTATACCATTTTACACCCCTGAGTACTGCCTAACAAGGAGCCCTGGAGGTGCAGTGGCTAGGCACCGGCCTGCTAGCTGAAAGGTCAACAGTTTCAATTCAATACTCGCTTGGCAGGAGACAGCTGTGGCCATCTGCTTCCAGAAGGAGGATTACAACCTTGGAAACCCCATGGGGCATTCTGCTCTGCCTTACACGGTCACTAGGAGTAGAAATTGACTTGACAGCAGCAGGTTCGTTAATGCTTACCTATTAGCTCTATGCAGAGGAAAGGAAAATATTAGAGAAAGAGGGGTAATGGAAGACAAGATGTTCAGGAAACCTCCCCTGCCCTGAAGGTAAAAAGTATCTTAGGTTTGGGGGCTGTGGAATAAATGCAAAACTTAACGAGTTCTAGAAGGGACTGTAAGAAGAGGCAACAATGATTGTAAATCACAGGACAGGCCTGAGGGGTAAGAAACGCAATGCCCCTATCATTGCCCCTATAGGTCTGTAGGGCCCAGAGCTGCTCGTGTCCAGCCCCAGTGGCTTCCAGAACATGCCAAGTGGCACCTTGAGCCCAGCCAAGCAAGGTCTGAGGTCCAAGAGACTGCGCCTTCACAGCTAGAGACCCCTCTCCCACCCTCAGCCCGGAATGCCAGAGAGTGAGCCTCTAGCTCCCCTGGGGCAAGGAAATAAGAGGGGATGAGCTAGTCTAAGAGGAAAGTGAGGAACTTTTACTCTGCCTGGGGCCCCTCCAGGGCATGGGAAGCTACTCTAAGGCAGATCTGAGTTCAAGTCTCGGTTCTGCCACACACTAGCTGGATCACCTGGGGCAAGCCACGTAGCCTCCCTGAGTCTCAGTTTCCACATGAATAAAGTGGAGATAACCAAACCAACCCCATGGGATTGTTTTGAAGATTTAATGAAATCATGTATGTAAAGTATTTAACAGTGTGCCCCCCTCCCCCACATAACAAATATTGAGTGAATTACTATGTCCAGTCCTCTAAATTTACATCACCCTATTACATCCATTTAATTCCCCTCAAGACCCTTCTCACCAATGACCCTTAGTGTGGTGGCTAAGAGCAAGG